TTTGTGTTATGTTTCTGGCAAAATATTGCAGAGACCGGAGAATTATTGAGAGTGGGAGTAAATTTTGTAATAAATAAATTTTATAAAATCGTTTTTTGTGATCAATAAACAATAATTTTGTAAATAAAATAATTTTAATTATTAAATTATATTTTTTTAATGGCCAAACATACACTGAGAGGAAAAAATTAAAAGTGTAATTTATTGATTTTCTCTGGTTGACTGCCGGCATTTTACTTGACTATATTATTAAAACTGCTCACATTACACCGAACCTAGCTGTACTAGAAGAACTAAATAAGGATTACATGTAGACTGCCGAGTAAAAGATTAGATTAAACATAAGCGCAAACAAAAGCATTGCCTGTTGTTTTTCAAAGAAAGGACTAATATGTGGGAGTGACTATGAACACTAGACTGATTTGAAAAATCAATATAAATAGATTTAATGAGAGGGCTATACTTTACAAATGCAGAAACCATTTTGGTAAGAATTAAGGCACAAACAGATCCTTAGACAGATCTGTGGTTATATACATTGTGCTTCTGCTTACAACATATATCGCGGAATAAAATGGAATGGAAGAAAACGCAAGCGTGCCGAACTGATTCCATCCGTACCACATTTATGATGACCCTGTGGGTGCTCTTCATTCGGCAGCCATTACATTTAATCAACTATAACGAGGTTAAGCTGGTTATGTACAGTTGTTAACGACAGACATAATGTCAGGTTTAACGATAAGGCACTGATCTTTAAGAACAAAAGGGATCTGATTCTCAGATGAGTCACTTTTTACTTAGATATAATAATAGATGTCATTTTGAGTTACTACTACCAGAACAAAGGGGATTCTAGAAAATGTTTATAAGATTTTGCTTCGCTCTTTGGTGTCTACCAAGGGCAGGGCTTGTTGTAAGATTTGGCATAGCTAGTTTGCACCAACAGTGGATGCTAGCCTACAATGAATTCCAGTGATTACTACAATATTTCAGCATTAGACAAGCAACGGTAAAATTGGGATTTGAGTACTAGGCCCTCTTCATCTACCGTTTAATATCTTTTATCTTAAATACATTTAATTACAAGCATATTTAAAGCTTTAAATGATTTTTAATTGCATATCCTGCATAAAAATTATGCCAGAATTTTTCAGTCAAAAAAATAAAATTTACAACTACTTATGTATCGTTGTTACATGAAATTTTAACATACATTTCTTATAATTTAAAAGTCAAATTCATTAAGAATTTTAAAATAAAAGTTGCTTTTTAATCCCCTCCACCCAATTCTTTCTTAAGTAACTGAGTTTGTAAAATGAACTTAAGTAAGAAAATATCCTTACGTTCTTCTTCTTTTTCGAATTTTTAAATTTCTTGGCATGAATATCTTTAGTTTTTGTAACAGGCTCTTGTTTTGATATTTTATTTTGTTGTTTTGTACAATGATTTTGAAATTAAGGAAGTAAAGTATTCATTTAAAAAATTTATGAAGTATAATTTAAGGATGTTTTCCATTTTTTTCTTTTTTTTTTGTATAATTTCCATGTATTTAGTTACACTATATTTAAAAAAAAGCACATAATCTTCTGTTCATAGAATACAAGGTGTCTATGAGATAAAAAAATACTCTATAACGAGTGAAAAACTCTGATTGTTTAAATTCTTACATTTAGGCGGAGTTCATACCCTAAGAACGCGCCTATTCGCTACAAATACAAGACAGTTTGGTCGGCGATTACAGCCTTATACTCACGATATAGTATATATCATTCTTATAATTTGTTCACTGAATAAAAGCCAGTTTGGACGGCATAGCCTTATGTCAATAGGTATACAGTCTATCAAGGACCAGTCAAAGGAAAGGTTAAGAAAGTTTTATTTCAGCAATTTGTATGAAGGCACAAAGGTTCGCTCTAACTTTAGAGTCTTAGTACGGAATATATCTAATAGTTCTCTTCAGAAAATTTATTGTTGTAGTACGAAAGTTTCGTGTGGTTTTTTGAAATTTCTATTTCAGACCTTTAATTCAATAAGACTCACTATTCAACGATCTCAAACTTAGCTTGAGAAATAAAAGTATGTGTAAGACATAATTCTCCACGCTTTTTGCAGAAGCAGGCCGACAAGTTTTTACTTTCGACACAATCAATATTTGTTAGCAAGTTATATTATTTCCTCCAGGATGTTTCCCGGCATATTCCACATTACAAGAAACGGAACACCGTCCTTAAAATCTCATTAAAATTATAATGCCATAGAAAATGTTTTTTACCAACAATATAATTATTTTTATGGTGGGCTAAAGAAATTTTGTAAATTTGTACAAGTTTATAGTTTTTAATTAACATTTCCTATACAATTTCATATACACACAATTACAATCATACGTTATATAAAAATATCGCTCATACCCAAATAGTCTGAACATAACAAACATTGTGAATGCTTCCTTCAATTAAACACATGTATATAGAATCAAGCTCTAGGATTTAAGTTTGGAATTTATGATCATTACCCGCTTGGATTTTACTTTTAAAATTTATTTACTTTATTAACTTTTTCTTAACTACTTTATTTTATTTAATTTTCCATTATAACTTTGAATTTTAACACAATTTCAATTTGGAAATGACCTTTTGTCATGTAAAAAAGAAAAATTAAAATTTATTCTCAAAATGTTTTCATTTAATTGAGGTTCTAATTGTTTTAATGGCACTATGAAAATAATTTTTAAACCCGGAGAAATTTAAACTTAGAAAAATGTAGAAGCAGAAATGTTGTTGGAGGGCTTGATTGAAGTTAAACATGCAATCAAAATTAAAGAGAAGTTTTTTTGATGAAAAATCTTTTAAAATAGAAAGCAAAATTTAAAAATCTTATATTTTAGAAGTCCGTAAATTTTGTTTTGGAGAAAGCAACACATGTCAGAGATTTCAATTCTGTTGCTACGGATTAATTAATGCAATTGACGAGTTAATTTACGCTTGATATGATTTGGAAGGATTTGAATTTCATTTGGGATCTTTTGTCTACCCTAACCGTAGATGCGTGAGCGAAACCGCATGCGACCGAGAACTGTGGTCAGGGTTAAATTTGTGTCGCACTGGGAATGTAATGTCTTCGGTAGGAGCCATAACGAGGCATTATCTTATTGGTAGACACGCCACGAGGATGGGCTGTCCTGCACATAGTCTCTATAGTAGTTGCTGCGGTAAGGATATGATGAAGGCAATCCATCTCATTTGCTCATATCTAGCTTTGGCACATGTCTTGAACATGCGAAAATGTCTTGAGTCATTTTCTATTTACGAAATACGAGCTTGGCGAATGTAAATGCCAGAAACTTTAGCCACTTTCTGAAAAGCGCCAAGTAGCGTTTTGACATTCAATCAAATAAAAATCAATTGACATTTAGCTGGTATGTCAAATGAAAAAATATCAAAAATTTTTTTAACGCATCACATTTTAAACACATTAAATTTAGTAATAGTCAAAAACTTCAAAACGCCGCCACCTTTTAATTAGTTTTCTCTGGTGTTTTAAAATGCAATCTTAGTTACCAACAAAATTAAAAACTTTTCAACCAAAAATTTTCCAAGAACAAGAACATTTTAAAATCATTTTCTAAATTATAAAATAAACTTTTATTTTCTGTACATGAAATTCTCTCACTTAAATGACGCATCTACGTTTCTTCATGATGCTCTACGAGAAATTTTATAATAAAATTTGTAATGATTTTAAAATGAAAGTTTTTTAAAAGTTTCACCAAAATAATTTCACTATACACCTAATTAACCTAAATATTTGTAATTTTAAAATGCTACAAAAAAAATTCTATAACTGCATTTTTTAATAAATATTAAAACGGAAAAGAGAGAGCAAGTTTCGTGTGGAAAAATAAAAATTTTTTTCCAGTTAAAAACGTTATTAAGTTAATGGAGAAAGTGCTATAATTACGGTGACAAACTTAAAATAACACAGAACTCTTGCCACAAGGAGTGACATACTCTTAAATACAAAATGTCAAAAAAACAAGAAAATTAGGGTTTAAGTGAAAAAAATAATGTTTGGTTTGCAGCACAAATTAACACTTTCTGTTTGAACCAAAATTTTTAAAATGATATTTGTTTGTGTTGTTATTTTTGACACTTCACACGTATTTCACCACAACACAGTTGTCAACAGCAAATCAATTCCATTTGGTTAGCCATTTCACCCTGGAAAGATGGACGAAAAAACAAAGCTTCGAAGTTATAAATGACATTGGATTATCACTTGCACGAACTGTGACAATATTGGGACTGTTTGTGTAGATTTTTCCATGATGAAAATGAGATGACTGAGCATGTTCTCTGCTTTTGTTAAGTATTGGGCTTGGCCGAATCAGTAATTACGTGAGGATTATAGGTCTAACTGGCGCTTTATAATCGATGGGAAGTTACAATAAGTTTTTGTGACTGAAGTAATCTGGTCTGAGGAGGACGTCTACCTTTACAAATCTAACCTAACCTATAGATAATTTTTGGTCAACAAATTTAAGACGATTCTAAATGTTTTCACTTAACAAATCTAGAACGAGTTGGGGCAAAATAACTCACTAATTTCGAAATTTCTATTTTATTAACTTACTAAGTATAGCAGGCATCAATAACTAAAAAAAAAATTATTTACTTTAGGGTAAAAGGCATTATTAAATGCGGAACAAATTTTTTTTATTTTTACAATTATTGGCAATAAAAATATTAAAAATAATTTTATTTGTGGTCAAAGTGTTTACACACACTTATTCATTTATGGGTTTGATTTGTTGCTAATTGATTAATTTTTTTTTCTTTTTCAACAATTTTGTGTCATTTAAAATTTAATTTTGTAATAAAATATTAAATTCGGGTTTTTTTCATAATTAATATCATTGTAAATAATTTTGGTCTGAAAAATAATTTCCAAATGTGGTAAAAATTTTTTTTTAATTTATTTTGTAGACACAAAAAAAAATTGAAAATTTTATAATGAGAAGGTGTTTTTGGTTTTTTCTCATGTTTTTTTTTTTATTTTTATTGACGATCAATTAAAAACAAACTGATGAAAGTTTTGTAGTCATCAATCGGATCTTAATCCACTGAAATCTACTTTATAGATTGGATTGTACACTAAGTCAACTTAGAGTTGTAGTAACGCCTGATTAGATTAGATTCGACCCACCCTGAATTCGTTAAAATCCAGTTAGGTTCCATAACATTTACATTCATTATGTCCGTAGCACGCTGACAGAAATTAGACGAAATTTGGAGCTCGCCATTGCTATATATGGGTATAAGAAATGGGTCACCATTTCTCCTCCTTTGTGTCACTATGGCGTTCGCAGAAATCATTTCAGGACGGTATATTCTTTTAATTATAACATGATTTTCGCGGCTAAGATTTGATTAAAATTTTCAACAAATATTTTAGTTATCATAGTTTGAATACCATGAAATTCTCTTACCCACACAATCAATATATAGTAATAGTTTTTTCCTTACCTGAAATGAAAAAAAAAAATAAATTAGTTTTGAATTTTTTTAATATTTTTGCCGAAATTTTATCAGACGGGGGTTACTTGTATGAAACTAAGAGTCACTGTAATCTGATCATTTTAAATGCAATAACAATAGCTCGTATAATACCCTCGTTTTCTCTAAAGAGTTCTGCAACTTAGGCATCCGTAAATATTAAAACTTCGGAAAGATGCAAATATGTAGGTCATTTTCAATTCCAAACAACTATTTATTTTTGTAATTTTCATAAAATTCACAACCAACCAACCATACTTATTAAAACAAATTAGTAAAAAGTTAACATTTTCGATTCCTAGTTTACCAAATATTAGGAAAACAACAATTAAAATTAATGGAAGAAAACCTACTTAATTTATTCATTAACCAAATTTATCAAATTATTCTTACAAAAGCCCCAATAAACAATCCCATTATTATACAAATTCAATTAATTATTTTAATGTTAAAAAGTTAACCAATATCATTGGCCACAACTTACACATAGTCTTTATGAATAAATTAAAATATTTTATTAATTCTACTATTAAAAGTAAAAATTTTCGAATATTCTTTCAACAAATTTCAAATTTTCTATTGTAAATCTTACAAGTATAACAATATTAAGAATTCTAAATCACATTAGATTTCAATTCAGATAAAAATTCAAAAATTTTGTTATCATTCAAATGTACACACTCGAAAAAACTTTTCAAATTTGTGATATTTTTATTGTTATATCATACACGCAAATACCTACATACGTATATTCCTTATAAAATATAAAAATTTTATAACAAATTTAATGGGCTGGATACAAAATTATTGAAATACAATGTAAATGTCATGGAAAGAATTAAGAGAACAAGTAAAATCAAAAAAAAACTTTGTAACTTTTGTAATCTGAGGCCATTTCACATTCCTGATCTTAACAAATTTTTTTTCGACGAAAGAGCACACAGATATAAGAGAAGTATCGCAATCATGCTAAATTTCATTCAAGATTGTGCTGAATGAATTTTCAAACAAGTTTATGTCCAACATTATTTTGGTGAGTTTTTGGAAAATTCATGAATATTTACTCCAGGCGTCTAATTTTACAATTCCACTCATTTTCAAGAAAAAATCAACAGGCTATTAAGCTGAGCGCTTCTAAAGAATCAAAGACCAAAAAATTAAAACTTTATTTACTACAGAGTTACTGGGGCCTTTACTTTAAGAAAAATCTAATAGGATTTTCATTTAATTTACAAACTAATGCAAGGGGTATTAAAGTCTAATCCGAAAAATGGTTCACCAGGGACTTAACTGAATCAGAATCCTGAAACTTAACCTTTAACATTAGTCAGTTTTCTATTTTCTAAAAAACTTCAATTGAATTCAATTGAATCAGGAATATCAAACTCCAGAAAGATAGTTCCTGCTAAGAACCAAATTTACACTTTTGTTGAAGAATTTGTGATTTTTCTTGAGTTTTGAAACAAGTGTGCAAGACTCTGTTTTGCAATATTGTGGAGTGATTTACTTTACAAATAAAAGTAAATTTATTAGAATCAATTCGGCCGTCGATTTTTTTCTTCCACAGTTCTTCCTATATAGTTCTTCCTCACAGTTCTTTTGGGCTGTGAGTCCTTATTGAATCACAATGTGCGATTACGATTAACATTTCGTATATACCATAAAATTTCAAAATTAAATAAAAATTTTCAAGTTTTTTTCTACTTTTTCACAATTAAGAATATTGTAGCAAGAAACAAAAGTAGGATTACATTTAGAATTACAATGGTGTAAATCTCAAATTTAATCCACATGTCATGGTAGTTATGATCGAATGATTCGATTACATTCATTTCATGTACTTTTTATTTATTTTTTACATTTTTCTTACTTTCATGTTAAACTTGTAAAACTTTTTAATTTCTGCTTATTTTTCTCTTTAAAAAAATACGAACTTTTGTTCTGGACATGCTCTCAATATCTATGTACTTAAATCAAAATATTCTTTCTCTTTTATTCTTTGTTTAATAATGAAATAAAAAGTAAAATAAAAATCAAAAGAATAAAAAAATTACAAAGTTTGAGAGGAACAATGTGGGAAACAATGAAAAATCTCGATAGCAGACTTATTTTCAAAGTTCTTCCTTTTGAATGAATATTAAATATAAAAAAAAGCACTGCGAAGAAGTTTATTGGCATAAAGTGGAGTGGAAATTAAAAAATCAAAATGTGGTTAGGATGAAGATTACACAAAAACGCCATAATCACTACAAAAGCCACAAAAGGTCAATGATTAAACCGCCATAAGTTGTTATTATTTTTGTTTCCTTTTCTTTTGTTCTTTACAAAATTTCTTTTAGTGGTTCATTATTTTTTTTAAAACTTAAAAATGTAAGAAAAATCACTTGCCAATCAAAAGCTGGTGAAAAACTTTATAATGAAAGATAATTGAGCGACAATATAACATGTGCAAAAAAAATCGGGGATTTCCCTGGAAAATTTGCCATCAACAAATCAATTCTTCGGATTTTCAACAATTGGTCCGAGTAATTTTCACAGATTAACATCTCTTTAAACATCAACTCTTTGAAGTTTAGTGACATGAAATCAAATTAAGAATGAAATTTTTTTTTCCAAATTAGCATTACAACACAATTTACTGTTATGCAGTTGGATTCCTGTCGTAACAGTTTCTTATACAAAATAATAAATTCAATGAACTTTTAATAATCCTCACACTCTTTTTAAAATATTTGGAATGTTTTTATAACCAAGAAAACTATTTAATGAAATATTTAACAAATATTCTTAAATTTTATTCCAGCATGACAGTATTTGCCAATTAATTTGCATAATATTTACTTTTAAAAGAATTTACTCAAAACACTTATTTAAAAATTTCTTACAAGCTATTAGAAAATACACTCGAACAATATTTAAGCTTTTGACATGTTTCATGAGAAGAGAAACTTTTAAACTAGCAATTTTATATGTTTTCATTCTTTCAGCCGTCCCTCATTTTCAATTAAGTTTTTGAAAGTTAACAAATATACTACATTCTATGTCGAAATCAATAAAGAGATTTGAAAACTTTATTTTATAAAGTTTGAATACTAATAACTTGTATGTGAATTTAACAAGTTTCATATACGTTTTTAGAGACAAGCACACATACATGCCAGTTTAAAATAAATTTATAGAAATTTTGCATAATATTTTGTGCTCTCCAAATACCACAAAGGTTATTAGTTTTGCATTTTTCATGATTTTATCTTTGAAATAAAATTTCATGTTTCTTAAGTTTTTTAACATCCTTGCTGATGAAGGCTATGTTGTATAGTAAATATTTAGCAAGTGGGAGTGTGTAAAGTAATTATTTTTGTATTAAATAGTTTCCAAATGAAGGTTCACATTCAACAAATGCAGTTTAGTTGATTTTGTATTTTTCAACGAAAATTGCATATGAATTGAATTTGAATTACCATAAAGTTAGACTTTTATCCTGGGCAACAATTAGGTTTTCAAACTTCATTTAAGGAATTCATTCAGACCGCATTTAGTTCTAGATTATAATTTCATTAAACTTGTCTACTTTTGAATTGAAAACCAAAAAATTTAACACAAAACGTTAAAAAAGGTTCAAAATTGAAAAAAGAAAAATTTCGTCTCATCCTTTTCAATCAACCGAAAAATAATAATTTTCTTTTTTCCACGCGAATACACAAAATATAATTAAATCAAAAATTTATCATTTATTCAAGGTAGGAGTAAGCAATTTATGACTATAGTCTACGTGTCCCTAAAAATATGCAATTAAGTAGTATACCTATAATATCAAAATAATTTTCATTCATGAATATTTTTGCAAATTAAAGCGTTCTTGAAAATTGTAAAAATATTTTAGAAAAAAAATTTTTTCTAAATATTAATGACGTTTAAAAGTATTGGTTTAAAATTTTAATTTTAGGGTTAGAAATTATTCTTTTGACAGAGTACAAATATGTTAGTTAACCTTAATGGCGATTTCCCTTCCCCCTTTCCTTACTCTTTTGAGCTGGGAGAGGATAGGACTTCTGCTTAACACCTCCATCTCGTTCTATTGTTTTGCTATTTACTTCTCTTGACATGATTTTGGACGTGATTCTTCCAGTTTTGACTTTACCGATCTACGCCAAGTGTTCCTGAGGCATCTGGGTCTTCTTAATTCATGTGGCTTTCACTCCAAGCTTAGACTGTATCGGATTGATCTTTACTTTTTTCGTCATATTTACTTACGGAGGAACCACTTGTTATTATCCAGAGGTCTTAATTGACTAAAATATTTGGCATGTTAATCTGAGGTGGAGAATACTTGTAACTTCTAGCTGACGCATTTTGATGTTTGCCATGTTTCGCTGTAAAATAGAACCGATTTTACGAATGACCGGAATATTCCTAGCTTGGTTGTTATGGAAATTTGATTGTTCTCCACATACCTCACTAAGCAGTCAAATTAAAATCATCCCAAATAATGCAAGCATAAAGACAATTTTTAAGAGCGCAATCCAACGACTACTTTCTTAAAAATCGTAATGCCACTTTTTAGTTACAAAATATTTTATATTCTAAGAATAAAATAAGCTCAATAAAAATTTAGAAAAAAAGTACAACCAATAGCACAATATGTTGTCTTACAATATCAAAAAAAAATATCCACACAATTTAAATTCTATACACTGATAAATGTCTTTCATAACACCATATATAAACACTAATATGCAAATATATACATAATATGTATTATACATAGTTTTGCACATTAATACCAAACTATGTAGGTACATAAGTTTCCCACATAACTTTAAATGTGGCTTTAATATTATGCATGCTCCAGTTTATTTTAACAATATGTTAATATTATCCTTTATTTTTTTCGTTTTATAATGTTACACGAAGAGTTCATAACGAAACATAAAATATTTTGTACAGTCTAGTTAAAATTATACGAACGG